TAAGCACTGTTTTCATGTGGCGATGTGGCGATTGTAAGCACTAACAGAGACGCTTGCAGGGAGCGCCGGCAGCCCGCTCAGGTAGCCCCCTTGTACTCTGGGAGCCCCATGGCGACACCACTATTCTAGATGGCGTGGCGCGAGGTTCGTATTTCTGCAAGTCGCTCTATATGAAACAGCGATCGGTGGCAAAGAACAAGCGGAGAATTAGGACCCACGACGATGGGATTCGTGGTGGGTGGTTGAGATGTGGAGCTTGGGCGCAAAGGCGAAAGGAGAGCGACGCGCAACACGTCTCCGCGTGGGAAACGCGCATCACGTGATAGAGACGCTGTGTCACTCTCCAGCTCCATGGTTCCGAGGCCAACCACTCGTTAAATTGCGCCCATGATTCTTTCGTCCGAATTCCTTAATTGGCCGACGCAGATCGATCGTGAAGGTCTAAATGTTCCGTCGCCTTCCGATCGAGGGACTGCAACGTGGTAAGAGAGACAATTATGGAGCCTGGGGGGCTTGTCAAGCATCGCGTTACCTGCGGCGGTCTCTCCGCGTAACACCATAGGGAAGAACTGGTGAGACCAACAGCAATGGACCACGTTCGCGGTCACGATGCATCGATAAACAAGCACAGTCTTCATGGATAATCCCTCCTCCAGGACTAATGAGGTGCGAGATCGACGACTGACGACGCGGCGACTTGCAGCAGTGCGCAGATTTCGCCAATAACATCATACAGTCGACCACAGTCCCGGGAACCCAAATGGCGTTGTGATTAGGGCGAAGGAGGTGATCGGCGGTACACATGTCGCAGCGATACACATTGAGAAGGCCAGGCGCTTGGAGATGAGGCAGAGCAAAGTCAGAGAGCACGGAGGAGCGTGAGCCGGGGGTCCGATGAGGTGTTATCAGAGGCTATATACACAGTTGCACAGAACTAAGCTCTGTGGAACGCAAAAGAGACGTCTGACAGGTGCCGGGAGCAGCATGCCGGGAGCATCAAACACGGCCGTGACATCTCTGACACGGTGGCAGGCCGACAGGGTCCAGCGTGAGGTGCAGCGTGAGGTGCAGCAACTGTGCCATGGTACTCCTAGAGCCAGTGGCTCAGCTACAGACTCCTTGTCCCAGGGTCTCAACACCACTTGTTTACAGCTTTCGCCCGTCAGCTTTCTGCGCCTCCGCAAACCCGACAAGCCGCGCGCGCAAAGCGTGGCTCCCAGGTTCGAGCGGGCGGGAATGCGATCGGCCAAGCACATCTCGGCGTGAGAGTGCCCGCAGCTCCAGCTGGCGACGCTCAATGTGGAGCTGATGAATGGCGCTAACTGCCTCCCGTCGCCTGAAACTCCTCGCGACTTCAACTGTCCATCGACAATCTGACTTCCCCCCAGCACCCCTCGCCATCCCCAGCGTGCCCGGCGCACTGTCGACCAAGCATCCGGACGACTGCGAACCACCCCCGTCGGCCAGCTCAATGGTTCGCACCGCTCGGTGATCTGGCTGCGACGTGCCTATGCGACCCCTGATACCGCGCTCGGCCCGCCTCACCACCTGGCAACTCCTCCACTGCGCACGACAGCGGTCAGCGACCTCAAGGACGACAATATAGACACCCGCCGGCGCCATGTCTCTGAATGGGCTCGACAGCGCATCCGTTGCGGAGGCATATGCGTCTGCCCTGGCCGAGGCTGGAGGATGGTCAGTTCCCAGACTCTCCCTTCCCGTTCGACGAATTGGACCTTAAGATCTGCTGCTAACAACGCCGCAATCGCAGGTTCCTCCTAAAATACGCGTCCCGCGATGCCGTAGAAATCCTTACCCGTGGCACCGGTGGCCTAGTCGAAGCTCGAGGAGCCATCTCCCAGTACGAAGACAAATCACCACTCTATGGCTTCCTGCTGTACCGGCGGCGGAAGGTTCTGATAAAGTACACTCCGGAGGGGACCTCTCGGCTTCTGCAGGGTAAGGCTCTCTCAGCCACACTTCTCAAGGATATGGCTAACGACTGCAGCTCGTGTGACTGTCCACTTCCAGGCTATAACAGAAAAGTTCTCCCCCCACGACACCATCCTCCCAATCACCACCGCCGAGGAGCTCAGTGATGCCGCCCTCTCTGCAGCCTGCTCCCTCCACACCGCCGCGCCTTCGAGTTCTTCGTCCAGCAGCTCCTCCCGAAGGCGGAAGTTGGATGAGATCACCGAAGACGCGGAGGAAGGGCAGGCGACCGCCGATGACACTTCCTCCATGACACGACCGATGACAGCAGCCTCCACAATACCCACCATCGTGGAGCCGTCGAGTCCGGACACCAGAACGGAAGCGAAATCAGAGGCATCCGAGAAATCCACTCTGCGAGGATCCGTGGACAGGACACCAACAACGCCTCAAGCCAAGACGACTGTGCCTCATGTTAGCGTAGATGCTGTCTTAGAGTCAGCAAGTACCCCGAATACAGATCTAGCAACTGCGGATTATGTGGCCAGCCTCAGGAACTACGAAAGCCATTTTGACAGTAGCTACGAAGCTCGATTCTCGTCGCAGACAGCACGCCCGAGCACCTCCGAACTCTACGACTATCTATACAAGCCCAAGGTCAAACTAGGTCCACGACCACGCCCGTCAATAGATGTTGGCAAACGTCCCCATACTTCAGGAACAGGCTCAAAGGAAGACGCTAGACCTGTGTCGCAACTCCCACCCGGCCTACGCATAGCTCAAAGGAAAACAGATCTAAAACGGCCGAAGTCGCGAGACTCGAGCGTCGTCCCTAGCATCGCCTTTCCACCGCCACCGCCAATACCTCATATCCCCGAACTCTCGTTGATCACGCCAATGCGACCTGGATCCAGCCCCGCCAGTATCCGGTCTCTACCTGCTAGGACCTCGGGAATGACACCGGAGAAACAACGTTTGATGAAGGCTCTGGAGTTGCGGAAAAAGCAAATGAATTCTCGGAAAGCTAAGGAAGCTAACGAGGCCGATAAAGCTAGGGACGCCGCTCTGGCTCCGGCCGCCGTTGTTGCGGAAGTTCCTCCCGTTGAAAAAGAGCAGACAGAGAAACCCCCAGCCGTGGAACCTGAACTCGCGAAGGTGGAGCCGAGCCTTGCTATAGAAGAATCGCCTGAGGAGCAGTCTGTCCCGAATACTCATGATTCGTCGTCAGCTGTCACCGAGCCCCCCAAGGCGGACTCTGCAGTGGAGGTTTTGGACGACGATCATCCAGAATCCGAGGACTTACAATCGGCTTCCGCCTCATCACCAACATCCGCACAGACACAAGGCTCCTCCGAGTCACCTTCTACTCGCCCCTCATCGGTATCAGAAGAGGAAGACCACACGGACCATGACCAAGACACGAAGCCTGATTTGCACGTGAATTCGACAAGCTTTGGGATCGATGGACAGGCTGATGCCCCCAGCTGTCAGGATGCGCCGGTGGAAGAATCCGTAGAAAGCTCTCCTACCGTTGTCCCAGAGGATTCTTCTCCGGTTCCGTCGATTGAAGTCATTGCGCCCGCAACCTCTCGATCAGAGAACGGTCGGGAGACAGTGGAGTTGAACAGCCCATCAGTTGCCGAGACGGTAGAAACAGTATCTGCTCAACCATCACCATCCCCGACACCGTCGGAATTGAAAAGGAGAAGTACTGTCGAGGTTCGTGAAAAACGTCGCGCCCTTGTGGAACCCATTCGGATCGATCTCACCACTGCTGATGCCTCCGACACTGAGTATCTCTCAGATGACTCGTTCATGGAGGAGCTACAAAGTGCCAAGTTCGAGCAAGCCCAACCCGTTTCTGTCTCCAAATCTCCCATCAGCCCATTCTTCCCCCGGAAATTTTCCAACCAATCAATTGTTTCGATCCCGGAACGATCGTCTTCGAACCAGTTTCTTCCAGGAGAGCGGAGATCACCTCAGTTCTTTGGTGGTGATCGTACCTCCTCCGCATCCTGGTTAACAAAGCCCAACCAGGAGAATCTGACAGTTGCCAAAAAGATCAACGTCTCATCCGGTATCTCTCAGAGGATTAAGGCCCTTGCCGAGAAATCAAACCGAGAATCTACAGCATCTGTAAGTCCCGTCACGCCTCCAGAAGCGTCTAGTTCGATTGTCGCACAGCGTAAATCATCTTTCCGTACACCACCTGCATCTACTGGCCCCTCACCCGTTGCGCAACATACAAAGCGTTTCAGCAGACAGTCTTTTGCTTCATTTACAAGCCCATCGCCTGACCGACAATCAATCTTACAGCCTCCGGAAACCACTAACCCGATGTACGCTGTTCAACAAGTCGACAAACCGGAGTCCGTTCAAGTTACAGCTCGCATTATTCGGGATCCTCGGACACAAAAGCCAAACTTAACAATGCCGACTCAAGATTCGCCGCTCGAGCTTCATCAGAGCCCTCTGATCATCGATCACCAAAAGGCTCAAAAAGTCTTGATACCAGTATCGAGCTCTAGGGTCAGCCTCGCGAGACCAGAGCCTGCGTCCCCGGAACTTCCTGCCTCTCCGCAGTCCACTAGGGAGGCCAGCTCTTCAGGACTCCCGCGCTCGTCTTCCGAGAGCAGTTGGCGATCTTTAGGGCGACGGATGAGCGAAGCCAAGCCTCCGCCTACTGCTGTATCCGTTCGCAGTCAGTCAGCGGCCAGTTTGGAAAGCTTTGACGAGAAGAAAGATGACAAGAAAGACAGCAAGAGGGACTCCAGGACGAGTCGTCTCTTCAAGAGGATGTCGTCATCAATGTCCATCTCTTCAACTTCCCGGAAGAACCTAGCGTCGCTGAGTCCCACTGTGCATGAGGAAGATCACGAGGCCAATTTGCCATCACTTCGGGAACCGCCACCAGCCGTGCAAGTAGGGGACCTGAACATTCAGTTTCCCGACACATTGGTGAGTTGGAACAACATTAATCAGTATGAAAACACTGCTAACCAGAAATAGCTCTGGAAACGGAGATGGGTAGAGATTGACGGCTCGGGCAACCTAGTCTTAACCCTTTCCAAGGCGAATGACGTGAGTGATGCCGTATCCATCAAGATCGCCTAAAGCTGACCTTCGTCCTAGCATCCTCGTGGTATTACAAAACGATTCCATCTCACTGAATTTCGCACCCCTTATTCACCAGACCAGGACGCGCAAGAACTCCCAAATAGTAAGCTACTCCTGTCCCGTCTTCACGAGACACAAAATTTAACGTGAAAAGGCGTTATCTTAGACTTTCTCGATGGCCGAACGTTGCAGTGCGCCTGCGAAACCTACGTGTCCCAGGTGCATGTTCTTCAAAGTACGTACCAACCCTACGCACTCCGTTATCCATTCTAACAATTACCTATAGTCTTGAGAGAAGCACATGAAGCCTGGATGGCTTATGGACAATAATCCCCCTTTCTTTCACGCACACGCAGCTTCCCTTACCTAAGTCATGTAATTGACAGCGTCTTCTCCCTCCATTTTCTCTTTTACCTTCGACACTTCTCCATACCCCGCCGCTCCCGGCTTTTTTCTCTCTTCGCTGTGAGATATTAAGAGATGTTTGCTAGCATGACCGTACGATACTGGGCACCCCGTTTCTCTTTGTTTGGTTTAGAGTTTATAATGGCTTCTTTTGTTGGTTGGCTTGGTCTGGGGGCCCTGGGGGCACAAAAACGTGGTTTTATTCTGTTTCGATTCTGCCTTACCGTTTTTAGGAAGGGTGCGTTTCTTCTACGCTGGGCCCGGTTTTTATGAAGGGCTTTGAGGGGGTTTGGGTTTGCGGCAGATGGTGGATGATAAGTTTTTCGAGCGAGCTTCATACCCAGGGCGCGGGGGAGGAGTGGATTTTATGAGTTAGCGTACAGCTGCAAGCCAATGGAAGCCGGCGCTTTCTCGCTTCAATTGTAGGAATATAGTTATACTGAAAAGGCTAGAGTGATTGGTTGAATAGCAGTGCGATTCTTTGGATAGCACGTGATTCTTTGCCATTGTACGGCCCCAGGACACAAGTCAGTGCACTCTTGCTCACCATTGTTTAAGGCCCTTCGGTACACTATCATGAAAATCTGGAAGCAAGGTTGAAACTAACTATAAAGAGTGCTCAAACTTATGTCATGATGCTATAGGGTAAGTTTATATGCATAGATTATGATCGCATCCTACCTTTGTAGCGCCTGATCCCTAAGGTCAAAAAAGCGGAGCTAGCATTTCGCTCTCCGCAACCTCGAACCTCAACCTCGAACCTCCACCTACAACTCCAAAGCTCCAACACCCAAGCTCCAACACCCAAGCTCCAACACCCTTCCTCTCCCACCCTAACCAACCACCCCACCAACCCAATCCCCTACCGCCAATCGAATAAAATGAGCACCCCGCAACCCACCACCCGCGCCCTCAAACCCGCGCCCACACCCGCCTCCACCACCACCGCCGCCCCTCCTCCCGCACCCGTCCCCCAACGCGGCGGCGGCACCGCCATGGCCGCCACGCCGGGGCTCCGCTACCCCTCGAACAAGAAAACCATCTATGACCGCAACCTGAACCGGAGCAAGAACGCGGAGCTGAGCCGGGCGGCGTTTGCGTACCTGTTCGTCGAGATGATTAGCTACGCACAGAAGCGGGTCAAGGGGATTGCGGATCTGGAAAGACGGTACGTGTGTCGCGGAGGAGATTGTGATTAGCAGCTAACGTGTGTTTTTCCATGGTGTAGGCTCAACCAGCAAGGCTACCCGCTCGGCCTGCGCCTCCTCGACCTGCTCCTCACGCGCGCCTCCCCGCCCTCGCTGCGCCCAACCCGCATCCTCCCCTTGCTGCAATTCATCGCGCAGACCCTCTGGCGCCACCTCTTCAGCCGGCCCGCCGACGCGCTTGAGAAATCCGAGAGCGACCCCGCGCAGTACATGCTGTACGACAACGACCCGCTGCCGAACACGTATATCAGCTTGCCGAAGGAGATGAGCCAGCTGAACTGCGCGGCGTTTGTCGCGGGCGTGATTGAGGGGGTTTGCGACGGCGCGGGGTTCCCGACGACGGGGGTGAGCGCGCATAGTGTGGGCGAGCAGGAAGGGGGCGGGGGCGTGGAAGGGCGGATGTGGCCGGGGAAGACGGTGTTTTTGATTTGTTTTCGCGGGGAGGTGTTGGAGAGGGAGGAGGTGCTGGGACGGGGGGGGAGTGGGTAGGTAGGATGAGGGGATGGCGAGGGGAGGGGATGGGCATGGGATGGCGTTTTGAGCTGCATTGGAGGGCGTTTAGAGGTCCAGAGGCATACATGTATACTCGTGGTGTGCTGAGTATATATCACATAGCATACACGTCGATATGGAGACAGTCTCTTCCGCGTCTTGCTCATACATCCTTGCGTCGAGGTCCTGGTTTTTCTTCCAGCTATGAAGCTGTCAACGCCCTCTCTCTCAATGCGTCACAAAGTTTCTCTGATAATATAATAGGAAGATATGATGCGATAACAACATAAACAAGTCTTCAGAGAAGGCACCGCAGCTTCTTCTATTTGATATCTCGCGTCTAATATCTCAAAACACCGTAAATGCCCAACGCCAGCCCCCTCTATCTACCACAAAAGCTCCCACATTCCCCTACCACGCCCCCACAATCCCTGCAATCGGAATATCAATCCCCGTCGTATAACCCGCCGTATCGCTCAACAAATACACATACGCGCCGCCCAGCTCCTGCGGCATCGCCAGCCGCGGCATCCCCCCGTAGTACTGCATCTTGAGGTCCCAGTCCGGCGCGCGCTCGACATAGTACGTCATGGCGGTCTTGACGAAGCCGGGCGAGATGCTGTTGACGCGGATGCCGTGGGCCGCCCACTCCATGGCGAGCGTGTGCGTCATGTTGCGCACGGCGGCTTTGGTGCCGCCGTAGGGGGCCGAGGGGGCCGAGGGGGCCGCGCGGTTGGGGCGGTAGGACGTCATGGAGGCGGTGAAGACGATGGAGGCGCGGGTGCCGAGGGCGATGCATTTTTTGGCGAAGGTTTGGGCGCAGAAGAAGGCGCCGAAGACCTGGGGGGTGTTGGGTTAGTCAGGTGATTTGAGGGAGATGGTAGGTGTGAGGAGGGGGGGTTGATTTGATTTAGGGCGACGAGATTTCTAAGGTAAATGGGGGCTCGCTCATGTTCGAGAAGATACATGGGGAGGCGATAAGTGCGGGACACACTTACGTTTAAGTTGAACCGCTTTTCCACCTCCGCGCGCGTGAAGTCTAGCGCGGGTTGGTGCTTCGTCATGCCTGCGTTCGCGACTAAGCCGTCGATTCGGCCTTCCGCCTCGACTATGCTATCAATCGCCTTTTGCACGCTCGCTTCGTTCGTCACGTCCATCTGGATGTACTTGAAGTTTGGGTATTTCTTGTGCAGGGCGGCGAAGTCCTCGGAGGGGTCCATGAGATCGAGCGAGTACACCATTTTCGCGTTGTTGGCGAGGCATACTTCTGCGATGCCGAGGCCAATGCCCCGGTTGGCGCCGGTGATGGCGATGACCTTTGAGGCGAGGGTGATTTGCCAGTCGAAGTTTGCGGGGGGTTGGGTGCTGAGGGGAGTGGTGGTGGAGGAGGGGGCGGCGCCGTCTTCATTGGAGCCCATTGTGAAGGTTTAGAGGAGAATGGGTGAGGATTTGAATAGAAGTGATGAGACACCAATTCTGAGACTAAGCTTGAGGGGTGAGGATATGAATGGGAACGTAAAGACACCAATTAGGAGATCAAAGAATGAACTTGGAGGACGGAACTGGAGACGAGCGACAAATGCAAATAGAAAGAAAAGTGCAGGATCATTTGATACTTATTCTACGTGTCGAAAGGAACATCGGCACATCTACTACCGTGAAGGACGAAAGCTCTCCACGGCACGGCATCGAGGCGTCACGTCCATACATGCGGTCCGGAGCTGCTGTGGGTACTTCGGGTTTGTGTCGTGGAATCTACGAGGCGCTCGAGTGCTCAGACGACCTCCATCTGGGGACACCGCTTCGAGGCTCAGCAGGTGGTTCTGTTAAGTGGAGAGGCTGTGGGGATGGATCGGATGGACACACGGCCGGGGAGGTTGATAGGGTCGCAAGGTGGCCATATATGTGCCGCGAGACGAGCCACTGACCCCGTGCCGAGGCTCTCCCCATCCCTCACTACGACCCTCCGCCAGGCTCCCCATCGTCGCCTCCACAAGTTCCCCAGAGAATGGAGAAGGCCAGTCTGGGACAATCACACGACATGCTAGGGTACTGCCATCCGGTCGCTCGCCATGGCTTCCCTGGCATCTGGGTCAGGACGCCCTCTCTTCGGCGAATTTCGACTCGACCTTTTTCCGGCCGTGCGGCTTGGTTCTGGGTCGAAAGGCTGATACTCGCTCTTAGAGTGCTCGATTCAAGATGCGAGCCCGCGATCCTATGTAACCTCTATCCATTCTGATATTCTCAGCTCTCCGTCATTTCATTGTCCATTCCACGAATTCTACGCCCCTTTGAGTGCTCTATTTCTCCCCCTTTCTTGATCTCAATTGCGAATTCTTCTCGTTGTACGGCCGTCTGCTTGCCACCACTGTCATGTCGCTAGATCTCAAGCAGAACTCTGATGCCGAGTAGATCGAGGCGTACGAGGCTTCGATGGACGACGAAGCCCTAAGAGCGGAGGAGAAAGCTCTCGTTCGGAAGATCGATCTATCCCTTCTTCCCACGATATGGCTCATGTATCTCCTGTCCTATATGGACCGCACCAAGTGAGTGCATCACCAGAACTATTAAGGGGTTACATCAATCGCATCAACTAACAATAACCAGCATCGGCAACGCCAAAGTCGCGGGCATGGATGTTGACCTCCATCTTACATCAGGCCAATACTCCATCCCCCTCGTCGTCTTCTTCATCACCTACGTCGTCTTCGAGATCCCATCCAACCTCATCTTATCAAAAACGAAGCCGTCTATCTATCTCCCAGTGATCATGACGCTGTGGGGAGCCGTGACATGCTGCATGTCCCTCGCACATAGCTACCACACGCTTCTTTCGTTGCGGCTAATAGTCGGTGTCTTGGAAGCTGGCTTCGCACCTGGTATCCTGCTCATCCTGTCTTCGTGGTACAAGAAGGATGAACAGTCGAAACGCTTCGCTGTCTATATCTCCGTCGCTGTGCTGTCAGGAGCATTCGACGGTATCCTTGCCGGGGCTATCACAGGCGGCCTTGACGGGGTACGCGGGTTAGAAGGGTGGCGATGGCTCTTCATAAGTTTCTCCCGCTTCCCAACAGAAAGATGCCTTCAACACAGCCAACTAACCCAGCACCCCAGATCGTTGAAGGCGCCGCAACTGCCTTCTGGGCCATCTGCTCCCACTTCATACTCCTTGACTTCCCCGCCAACACCGCGCGCCTGACACCCCGAGAGCGGGAATTCGCCATCAGCCGGCTCGCCGCCGACGAAGTCACCTCGCGCACGGAGGACAATCCCCGCCTCACTTCCCTCCAAGCCCTCGCAATGTCACTGAGCAATTGGAGGACGTGGCTGCTGACCGCAGGGTACATGGTCATCGTGGGTTCTTCAACGCTCTCATACTTCTATCCTACGCTAGTGAAGGAGCTTAGGTATACGAGCCGTATAGCGCAGTACATAGTACGTACATATTACTCTCACCCATATAGTAGCCGCGTGCTAATGAGCACTAAAGGTCGTCCCCATCTACGCCGTCGCCTTCGTCGCCGTTGGCGTTACCGGCTACTTCATGGACAAGCACCCCCAGCACCGCGGCGTCGTCATCGCCGCCTGGCTCGCCCTCTCCACGCTCTGCAGCACCCTCGTCTGCACCATCTACAACTTCACCGCGCGCTACGTGTTCCTCGTCTTGACGGCGGCCGGCCTGTGGGCGTCCAACGGCCTAGCACTAAGTCACAGCGCGTCGACGTTCGGCTCCATGTCGCAGGAGGTGCGGGCGGTGAGTCTGGCATTCGTGAACGCGATGGGGAATCTGGCGCAGATTTACAGCGCCTATCTGTTTCCGAAGGAGGACGCCTCGAAATACCTTCTCGGATTTGGTGTGATATCGGGGATGTGCGCTTTCGGGGTGGCGGTGTACGCCATTTCGCACGTGGTTATAAGGAGATATCCCTCCAAATGAGAGAATCGTCGAGGTTGCCACGGAGGCTGCATTCTCATCAACTCCCACTCTCCTCAACTCTAACTCTCATCAACTCCCACCCTTCTCAACTCTCACTCTTCTCAACTCCCACTCTTCTCAACTCTCACTACTAATCAATCCACACCCCTGATCGCTCCAAACGCAGCCAAGCTTCTCGTTCCCAAGACATCCTAGCAACATCCCTCACCCCCCCCCGGCAACCTATCTATCTCAAAACACGTCGTTCTCGGCCTCGCTGGTAGCTAGTATCCACTTCCCAGCTGATTCCATTCCAAACGTCGCCAATGAACCACTTCCTCGAGTATCTAAAACAACCACTCTTATGATCCCATAGCAACCACCCGCGCTCAGTATCCAGACGAGCAAAACAGCCAACTAGGCTAGAAGTAGTAGGAGTAGAAGGCCAAACTTATCCCGTAACGCAATGCTTCAAGGGGGGAACAAGATCTTACTATGCTACCGATTCACGTCACGTGATTTACCCCCGGACATCCTATCCAGAGATCTGAATTGGGTTTGCCTGTGATTTGACTGAATCTGTAAACTGGCGGGAGCTATGGTTAGGTTATCAGTTAACCGAGCTCTTATCGTTAACTTGGGAAATGTACTGGATACGTATGTGTGTTTGGGCTGTGAAAGTGGGATGAGATGAGTTGATGAGGATGGGGGGGAGGAAGAGGATATATTCTTAGCCCTTTGCCTAATTGAGCGAGACTTGGCATGTATAGTGAAGTAAATAATGTGGGATTTAAGAAGGTATTAAGGAGCTTCCGATGCGCGAGATTAGATGCGGGAGATGCTGGGAGATGGGAGGCGGTGAATTGGGTTGATGAACAGGAGGTTGAGATAGTGGGTGGAAATCGGAACAAATAAAGAACTTGTTGTTAAGAGGCTGCAAACTAGAGCTGGGTTCTGAGGCAGTTGGGCCTCTGAATATAGGCGGGGGTGGTTTAATAGACCCCATGTACTGGCAAATACTCTAGGAGCAGAAGCCTATTCAAAGCCCATTGCGCCCTGGCACAGTCGACTTGTGGTAGTCAGAAACAAAAGCGATAGATTATGCAAGATGAACCACAGCTAAGTAGAGCGTACGAATCTCCGCTCCGTTCACCCCTCCACCAACCCCCTCAAAAACACCCCTGCCGCAAACGCCCCCGGATCCGGCGGCATATCCCCCTCCTGCGCCTTGTCATCCGCAACATACGTCGCCCGTCCAAACCGCGCCTTCATCCCCGCCGTCGCCTTCGCCCCCTTCTCCGCCTCTGCTACCGCCTGCCCAAAGTCCCCGTTCTTCTCAAGACTCCCACAAAACGGAATCAACGCATCCATCACCGTGCGATCGCCCACCCGCGCAGACGTATACAGTTTCAGGTTCTCCATCGCCGGCCCTACTGCATTCCCTACCGTCTGCGCGTCCAACGTAAACCCCTTAGGGTTCGCCTTTTCGAGCGCACGGAGGGAGTTGGAGAAAGCGGTGAGTAGGATAGAGACGATGGCGCCGAGGGAGCCGCCGGTGTCCTCGACAGCGTCGATGATGCGGTCGAGCAACGGGAAAATGTGGGTTGAGGAAGCAGGGGAGAGGAGCTCGTCGAGCTTGGAGACGATGCGGTGGCAGACGAATTCGACGGCTTCGCCGCAGTCGCCGTCGCCCATTTGGATGTCGTATTTTGTGATGAGGGGCTCGGCTTTGATGGCGGCGGCGCAGGCGTGGCGGAGGGAGGGGATCAAGGACTCAGGGGCTATGGGGGCTGTTAATTAGTGGAGAGGAAAAGGGGGTAAATTTAGGGGGTACGGGGACGCACTTATGGGGCCTTGCGCGGCTGGGGCTTTGCTTTCGTCTGATGTGTTCTTTGCGAGAGAGGCGGATTCTTTGATGGGTGCGTAGCCGTTCTTTGGCCAGGCGGGAGCGGTGGTGGGGAGATCGAGGAGAGAGATGATTTCCGAGGTTTTGGTTTCCATGATGCGCGCGATGCCTGAGATGTTTCCGAGGGTGATTGAGAAACCGGGACCGTTTAGGGAGGTTTCCATTACTCCTGCGTACACTCGGCTCGGTATAATCTTCCAGTCACGTTCTGTTACTGCGATTAGCGAAGTGTGGATTATTGAGAAGATAGGAGCATACTTAGTTGAACGAGGCAGATGTTAGTAAGTGCTTCTAGCTCGAGACCTGATAATCCGCCGAAGTTGTTGATTAGCATAACGACGTCGTCTTTTGGCTCGAATTTGACGAAAGCGCGGTCCGCATCTGACTGATCTAAGAGGTAGAGGAACATCTCTTTGACGATATCTTCGGCTGATGGCATTGGCGATACAGTTCGAAGTCCCTATAGGTCATATTAGCAGGGTTTCCAGTAGCCAAACATCACCAATTCAGAACTCACTGGCTCGTTGTGGATACCCATTCCCAATACGACCGCGTCGTCTGGAACGGCCTCATGATGTGTTCGTCCGGGGACATGGCAGTGATCAAGACTTGTACCCATTGTCACCAGCTGGTCATTTCCAAGGTTTCCAAGCTTCAAACATCGCTCAAAGGTCCAGCCAAGCTGTGCTGCAGCTCCGACAAGCTTCAGAACTACGGAGAGACAGATTAGTAACTATTTCGAGAGGGCACATATCAAGGCCGAAATATGAGCACGTACCAAGCAAATTTCCTGCGAGACCTCGTCGTCCTACGAGTTCTGACTTCTTCCTCCCTAGAGAAGCATCTTCTGCCATGTTCACTACGGAGATATTATATCCCAATGCCAGTCCCTTCTCGCAAGCCAAGCCGAAGTGCAGTTTGTCCCCAGTGTAATTCGTTATACACAGTATTATGCCTACGTCTGACGGGACGTTCTTGATGGCGGCCATGATCTGCTTGGTCGAAGGGCTGGCAAACACATCTCCGCACGCCGCGGCGGCCAACATCCCCTCGCCGACGTATCCTGACCATGCAGGCTCATGTCCAGAACCGCCTCCTGAAATCACCGTCACTTGTGAGGGAGGGTGGGCTTTGGAGAATACGACACGGTTAGGCTCATCGAGCCCCAAATGCTGGTTTCTTGCCACTAGAGAGTTCAGGGCCTGAACGACGACTCCCTCGGTATGGGGAAAGAAGTGTTTCGTAGACATGATGTGCAATTGAGGATGTGAAGACTGTGGAATGTGGGAAAGAAACGTGTGCTCCGTGACGTGAGGGGCTGGCCATGTATTTATTTATCCGCGTGCCCGCCCAGATGCCGGGAGGCTCGATTAGAGTAGCGCTACATGTTGTCGATGAAAGGAAGTCATCACCACTACCTACCCATTGAAGCATTCGAGGCGAAACCCACTGGATTCAATATGAGAGAAGGAGAGATACAATACATATACAGCTCGTGATTGAAATTTGCAGTATTAAACCTGAACTGCGATCATAAGGCTTCATCCGCCTTGTCTTTACCCAAGTGATGCACAAAGCTACCCCTGTTAGTGGATCGACACCCCGCCATCGTGGATGCGGGAGGTTGTTCCAGACGCAGTCAACCACTCAGCGGCCGCTTGGGTCGCCCCTCTGCTCAAGACCGTCTGGAAGGCCCAAAGCGGTATTCCGGGGCGGAGGGAGGCGAGTCAACTCACGTGCGACTCAGGCCATGCGAATAAAGGAAGAAAAACGGTGCGGCTCTACGAAGTACGTGGGTGGCCGTGTCTTGCCCAAACGCGACATTCCGAGAGCGTGTCTGTGGTTGTGGGCGCTGCTGCATGGGAGGCCAGGAGGTGCAGCATCCCTCGGTGACGCCACCAATTTCTCCGAGCGCACGTGTTTCTCTCTGCCAAGCACCGCAGACCGCTCCTGGCCCCGTCTCGAGGCCTGCGGCAATCGGGCTTCAAATCCCGTTCGTGCAACTTCGCCTCGCCCTCCCTCCTGCCACGAGACGATGCTGCCAGCGTCCACCTCCACACCCCCTGACCCCACCATTCCTCCGCAAGCCCCAGCCGGCCAGCGGAAGCCGCGAAAGCCTCGTGGCCGTGGTCTGCGGACGACGGCAGGATGGTGAGCTGCCCAGTTGCTGTCCCGCTGAGGCTCGCGTCGAGACCATAATCATGATCTGGACCTCTCACGCCTCACCGCTGCTCGATACACACGCCGCTTGTCAATTAAGATTCCTGTGTCGTGGAAACTTGCTGACTACTGATTCAGTGCCATCTGTCGTCGTCGTCATATGAAATGTGATGAACAAAAGCCAATATGTGGGCCTTGTGCGAAAGGAGGCAGACAATGCGTCTATGGTGCTAAGGTAATTGGCTCATATTTCTTGAGCAATTGCTCGTTCTTATGATGCTTCAAGTTCCATCTGAGTTCTTGTGAACCTGTCTATCGGTATCAGATAGCTCCATAAGTCTGGAGAGGTAGACCACCTTGCCCTGCATAGTACCGTGCACGCGTCGTAAACGCGTCAGTACTTCACTCGGGGAGCTAGCGATGACTTGCTTCTTGCGGACCTCCGTCCGTTATTTTTAATAAGTATCCTGCTGGAACTAGAAGAGAGGTCAACATGACCCTTAGCGTCCGCGGGAATCTTTGCGCGCCGCGGTTCGTCCGTACAGCGGTAACGATACACAATGGCACAACCTAACGACCTCTATGGCTCCTAGACTCGTACGAAGGGCCTCGTGTCGAGTCGCTATTATTCAATTCGTTGTTGCTGTCATCGCACAGGTGGCGCAGATGCCTGCGCACGTCAATTGGCATGAAGCGTACGAGTCTTGTAACTGCCTTTGATTTTGATTCTCATTCGTCACAATTATTGCTTCTTCTGTAATTTTACTAACGCATCCTTCAGTCACACAATGCAAATCCAAGTCTAACTCTCAGTGAGAGCGACAGGTCAGCTCGCAAATCTGTAACAGGGCATTGGCAACAGGAACAATCACCACCGCCAGAGGATGAGGAGTCGAGACGAGTACCGAAGGACCTTTCTTCATCGCAAGTTCTCTGGAGTCCTCCCGATAGTCAAGCACCGCGAGTGCCTTCCGTGAGCTGACACTCAACTCCGATTTCACTGACCCAGTGACCGCATGCTAATTTTGATAGAGCAAACAAATACCAGACATCCACAGTCCCGAAACTGTTCGACGCTCCATAGACCAAGGAAGTTGGAATGATGCCAATACAACAAGCCCTCAATCAAACTTCAGTGGTTCAGCTGGATACGGGGTAGAGGTCGCACCTCTAAGATGGTTCGGCCTCCTTGCGGACGACGCCGCGAATGGAGCCGACGATGGTTCCCTCGCGTTTCTTCATGAGAACTTCTCTCAAGGTTCTCCAAGCATCAACGAGAGTCTTAGGGACGACGCTAGGAGTCCGACCTACCCAGCCTCTGCCTATTCTGCGGGGACTCCAAGTCTACGATTCGCCCACGTCACCCCTACTTCCGTCCTACGAAGCATACCACAGGCTGGCGACGGTCGGGAGTCGTGGCAGTCACCCATCAAATTACGCGACCGCGAAATCCCTATTTTCCGCCGCTTCGTGGACAACTTGAGCCTTTGGATTGACATGTATGACCCGATGAAACACTTCTCTACCTTTGTCCCCCAACTTGCCCTTCAGAACGAAGGTCTCATGAAAGCCATCCTAGCCCTCTCCTCACGCCACCTCTCCATTAAACCCATGGAGCCAGGCGGCCCACTCCTGGACCGTACTGCAGCCGTCCAGTACTATTATGAAACGCTACAATACCTCCAAAGAGCCATGAAACACGAATCATACACCCGCAGCCTCGAGCTCATCGCCACCGCCCTCATCGTCTCGACCTACGAAATGATCGACGGGGCCGGCAAGGGCTGGGAAAGACATCTAAAAGGCGTCTTCTGGATTCAGCGCTCGCAGGACATCAACGGCGAAACGGGCGGCCTCAAGCAAGCCGTATGGTGGGCATGGCTACGACAAGATCTATGGGCCGCGTTTCGCGAAGGGCGGCGAGCATTCAGCTTCTTCAAGCCTACAAAACCGTACCACGTTATGGAGCAGTACGACATCGCGTCACGGGTCGTATACCTACTCGTCCAGGCGGTCAACTACAGCTCAGCTGAAGAATGCAAAATCGGGGAAGCAAGTCTACGGCCCAGGATCGAGCGCGCCGACGCGCTGCTGGCGGCGCTGGAGGAGTGGAGGGGGAACCTGAGTGTGCACTTCAATCCGCTACCGTTGGAGAGCGGGAGCGAGAATGCGGTTTTTAAACCTATTTGGATTAACCCGCCTGCTTTCGGTACGCCAGATCCCTCCTACCCTCCCTCACGTGCCTGTCAAGTTCCTCTTGTAGTTTACTGACCCTCCTAGCCGTCTCCATCCAACTCTACTCTTTCGCCCGCATCCTTCTCCTCGTGCATCGGCCCGCACCAGGCGGCTTCCTCGAATACGCGGAACGCAGCAAGCAACTCGTCGACGCCATCGATGCCATCAGCGGCATTGCGTCTACTCTGACCGAGGAAGCTGCGTGTGTTGTCAGCACGCAATGCCTCTTTGGCGCGGGGCTGTATACGCAGGAGCAGTCGAAGCGGGAGGCGATACTGCATATGATCGAGGAGCATCAGGCGCGCACGGGGTGGCCGGTCAACTCGCTAGGGGAAGAGTTGGCCGGGGAGTGGCGGAAGGGGGATGGGCGGATGGGGTAGTTAGGCGGTAGGTGGTGTGGAAAAATAAGGGGCGTTTGTGTATATACCTTTGCTGGATAACAATACAATCTTAAAGTCTTAACTTTTCTACACCAGATGAAACTTAGACGCGTGTAAACGTTTTTTCTTTAAAAAAAAAAAAAAAAAAAACCACGGCCCTTGAATACTCTCCGGGGGCAAAAAGCTCCACACAATGTTAGAATGCAACAAGCCGTAACCTTGAAACATGGACTTGTGATCTCCGGAAGCTGCCTTCAAGAGCTCCGACTGTAGCATAGGAGGTACCGTGATCGCATCCCGTACGCCCCTCCCACCCCCCAATTCCCACCTAACAAATCCCCACAACCCCATTGACCGCAATATCCACACTCGTGGTATAGCTCGCGGCGTCACTCAGCAAATACACATACGCACCCCCGAGCTCCTCCACCTCCGCCAGCCGCGGCATACCCCCGTAGTACTCCAGCTGCTGCGCCCACTCCGGCTGCTGCGGCGGCACCCAGTAGGTTCATGGCCGTGTTGACCAAGCCCGGGGACACCGAGTTGACGCGCATGTGGTGCGGCGCCCACTCCATGGCGAGCGTGTGCGTCATGTTGCGGATGCCGGCTTTGGAGGCGCCGTAGGGGGCGGAGGGGATGCGCTGCTGGGTGGGAGGGGAAGTGAAGTTAGAGATGGGAGAATGGGGGGGTGGGGGAGGGAAGGGGAAGGAAGGGGATGTGGGCAAACGCACTTTATCGGGACGGTAAGAGGCCACGGATGCTGTGAAGACGATCGACCCTTTCACGCCTAGCTTTATAGACGCCCGCGCTGCGACGCGCGCGCGCAGTAGAAGGAGCCGAATAACTACGCCCCCATACCACATTAGCAACCCCACCCCAATTCTCCCCTTGAGTGGAAAACCCACATTCACATTCCACAACGCCTCAATCTCCTCGGTCGTGAGGTCCAGTGCCGCCTTATGCAGCGTGCGCCCCGCGTGGCGGCCATGCCGTGCAGCGCTCCCGCGTCCGCGATGATTTGCTCCACAGCCGCGGTGACGGAAGCTTCGTTGGTGACGTCGGCTTGCAGCGCGAAGAGCTGGTTCGGAAAGCGCGCGGCGAGGGCGGTGAAGGGGGAGGAGGGCTCAGGGGCGGCGAGGTCGATGCTGTACAGTATCCCCCCCTGTACGGACTGGACACGACCGTGCGCAAAACAAGGGTTTTTGTATGTAAAATCCCCTGTTCTGCGCACGATCGTGTCCAGTCCGTTCAGGAGGGGTACTGTAGATGCGTACGGCGCCGTTGGTGAGGCAGCAGTCGGCGATGCCGAGGCCGATGCCAAGGGTTGCGCCGGCGACTGGGGAAGGGGAGGGGGTTAGAGAAGGGAGGGTTTTATGGACAGGTTTAAAAGGGATTCGGGTCGAAAGCGGGAGGATTTGAAGCAGAGGAGGGAGGACGTACTAGCGATTATTTTGCCCTCGAGGGTGATTTTCTTTTGGGCGGTGATGGGCTCTTTGGACATGATGGAGATATGGGAGATATGTGAGATGTTTAAGAAATATGAGAAGTATGAGAAGTGTAAAACGTCGGACTTTGAGGTATAAATGTAGTTCTATTCGAATCTCTATGAAAAAATACACTCCACACTCCCGCTGGTCTTACTGGATTTTATTCCCCATGTCCCTCCATCACGCCCGCAATTGGCAACCCACCTTTCCCGCATCCAAGGCCCCAGAGAGTGTGGAGATGGGGCGCATCCATGTGCGTGCGGTAAGTAGCACCTTGACGTGTGGTGGATGAAGGAGACTCGACACGAGGTCAGTGGGATGTGGAGACCCCTTGGCGTGCATATCCCTCGCCGGGGTTCCCTCCGAGTGCGCGAACCAACACCACGACGCGTGATGAGATACTATTAACCGCCATGGAACGCCTCTTGGGGGAAAGGTGGTATACCCTTTTGTTGGATGAAAATGCACGCCCCGCCTACGATTAGGGGGACCGGAAACTAAGTGACATTATATACTTCCAAAACCTTCCTCTACTCAGTGCTTTTCCTATTCCTTCTTTTAGTATTTGGGAATCAGATAATAAAACCGTGAAGATCTTAAAGGACGCAGAGAAGGGTGGCTATGGAGTCATCGCCGCCATCGTGTACGCCCTCAATCTTCCCTTATCCTCACATTTTCTCTACCTCCAGTGCTTCTCCCAGAACCCCAAGAACCCCCCATCTAAAAACCCCCCTCCAGCTACAACCTCGAGCACATCCTCGGCTGCATCCGCGCCGCCGAGCGCAACCGCTCCCCGCTCATCCTCCAAGTCTTCCCGTGGACCATCACCTTCTCCGCCGGCCTCCTCGTGCGCGCCGCCGCCGACGCCGCCTCGCGCGCCACCGTCCCCATCGCCATCCACCTCGACCACGCGCAGGACGAGGCGCTGATCCGCCAGCCGCCGACACGCTGCCCCTCGACTCCATCATGGTCGACATATCGCACCACGCCAAAGCCGCGAACCTGGCCAAGACCAAGGCGCTCGTGGCGTACTGCCACGCGCGGGGGATCGCGACCGAGGCGGAGCGCGGGCGGATTGAGGGGAGCGAAGACGGCATCGCGGACGCGGCCGATTTGGAGGGGCTGCTGACGACGCCGGAGAAGGCCGGGGAGTTTCTGGCGACGGGCGTGGACTTGCTCGCGCCGGCGTTTGGGAATGTCCACGGGGAGTTATGGGGCGAGGGGGCCGCAGCTGGACTATCCGCGGCTGGAGGCGATTGCGCGGTTCGCGGCGGGGAGGGTGCGGATTGTGTTGCATGGGACGAATGATTTCGATGAGGCGACGATGCGGCGGTGCATTGGGCTGGGCGTGAGCAAGATCAATGTGAATAAGCTCGTCTTGGATGGTTATCTGGTGCATTTGAAAGAGAAGGCGAGCACGTTGGGGCTGACTACGCTGGTGGAGGGCGTCGAGAAGGTGGTGAAGCTGATGGAGTGGCAGTTTGAGGTGTGTTATTCGGCGGGCAAGGCGTGAGGGTAGGTAGTTTTAATCCAGCAGCTTTTTCCCATCTCTGTTTACCTATGACGTGACCTCTCCTAAGCCAATCTATATATTTCAACTAAATTTGGAAGCCCCTCATCTACTAATTGCCCAGCAGCTCAGTTGGTCGGCCACATCGTGTGTAAGCCCGCGGCCGGTTCCCAGGCATTATACCTCGCGAGGTAGCGTTTCACTACCGTCGACAACCTCACCTGGCTGGGTCTTGAGTTCGATTCTCGATTCGACCCACCCTTGTGTTAAAAAGTCGAGTTGACTTCGGGCGGCCTGGTTAGTAGAGAGGCTTGGAAGCCTGGTAAAGAGACGTATGTAGTTGGTGCGTGAGGCTGAGAGTGGCCGGTTAAGATGACGGAATTGAAAACTACCGCGGGCGGGCGAGACATAGAGAAACCCCATCCGGGGTGGCTACACCCTCGAAAGAGGGTGGTGTTTTGCTCCTTAGAAATTCTTTTTAGTCTTGTCTAGACGTAGATAGACAGAATGCAAGGCTTTATTATTGCTTGTAGATGCTGCTGTACTTATTCTCTCTGGTGTGCCAATCCTAAGAGGAGGTTGGAAAATAAGAAAATGTTATATTCGCTGCGAGTTGGAGCGAGAGGGCAACCTCCACGGCCTATCCCCGCGCCCATCCCAATCCCTCACGTGGCGACCAGTAGAGGAGCGGACGATGTGCAGAGGAAACTTCACCTATCTCATTTCAGCAATCGACCGCAGGGAGAGCCAATGAACCGATTTTTGAGTGTTGCAGTGAGTGAGTGAGTGAGTGAGTGAGCAGATGGAGGCGAAATCAGGCAATTTGAGGAGACAGAGAGGAAGGTGGAAGTGTCCACGTCCTATCCATCTGTATATATCAACACATACTCACATTTCGTACTCACAGGCTGAGAAAATCAAGAGATGAATTAGGTGGGGCATTACGTGACGTTACCATGGATCTGGGTCAAAGAAAACACTCATATCTACTCGCTCAACGATACCTCATTGACCGTTAAGAACGCTCACATCTACAATGCCACCTCCCAGCACTCACCTTGCCTCTAGGACGGCTTCCGCTCCGTGACCTCAACCCACAACTCTGACTGCATCCACAGCCCCACATTCGCGCTCTTCCACGGCCTCGTCGGATCCACGACCGAGAAGTCAAAGTTGCGGAGAAGCTGTGATCGATTAGCCACCACTCTCCCCATCTCTCAACACTATCACTCACCTCAAAGAACACCTTATTCAACTCAATCGTCGCAATCGGCTTGCCTAGACACTGATACTTCCCCCACCCCCAGATCAGCTCCGCAGTCCGCTGCATCCTGCCCAGCTCCTCCCCCTCCTTCTCCAGCCACCGCTCCGGGCGGAACACGTTCGCGTCCTCGCCGAACACTGCTGTGTTGTGGTGCACACCCCACGCGTCATATCCGATTTTCGTGTTACCTGGGATATACACCGTCTCGCCGTCGATCTCGACCGTGTCGCCCTCCGGCGGCGTCACTTTTGTTAGCAGGCCCGTGACCGCGGGCCAGATGCGCATGCCCTCCTTGATCACGGCTTGCAGGTAGGGCAGCTCGGCGGCTTCGGCGGCGGTGATGATGGACTGGGGCGATTTTCGGGCCTTGACCGCCGCGTCGATCTCGTCTTGGAGCTTGCGGTAGACGCGTGGGTGGGACATGAGATAGAGCATGGTCGCGCGAATGGTGGTGGCGGAGGTGTCGGAGCCCGCGAGGATCTGGATTAGGGACTCGGAGACGAGTTCTTCCTGTTTGAGGCCGTGGCGCATGAAGGAGTCGAGCATGTCTTGGCGGTGGATGGGCTTGGGGCCGAAGCGGCGGGAGATGAGGTCCTTCGCAATACTGTAACATTGTCAGTCAAAATTGCCTGAAGTAGGGATACCGACCTCGCCATTGGATAGACGCATCGAGAACTTGACGAGTGCTTGAGGCGGCTCTCGGACGTGTGCGTGGTTGCGGCGTAGAATCCTTAAACTAACAGCGAAACGGCACTCAACTCACCCAATCAACTTCCCAATCCCAACCCCATCTTTGTCACTCGGGAACATCAGGTTCCCGATCCACTCGACCGTGAACATGCTCTTCATAAGCGGCATCGTAGCGGCCATGATGATCACTTCCAACATGTCCTCGGTGCTCTTGATGTACTCATACATATCCTTATCGTTCTCCAGATCGCCAAAGGCTTCGCCGAACGCAATCTTGGTGATGACATCGAGAGTGAAGAATTGGGCTTTGCGGGCCAGGTCCATGGGGCGGAAGTGGCCCGGGGTGGAGACGTATGAGGTCCGGATTAGGTGGAGCAGTTTGTGGATTTGGTCGTCGATTTCGGTTTCGAGGGAGGGGATGTCTTTGCCGGAGTACTGTGGGTGGGGTCTTGTTAGCTTTTGCTCTCACATTTTCCAATTGACCGATAGGAAGACATATTTCCTGCTTCGTCTTTCCAAAGGGGGGTTTTATCTCGCTCAGAGAGCGGGGAGGGAACCACTTACAGCTGGAGCCAACTGCGCCCGCCGACTCGTATGACGGTCCTCATCGATCCCACTAAAGACATTATCACGTCCTGGCTGGATCCTAGAGCCATTGTACCAGTCGCCTTTCGTATAGGTGGATCGCACGCTGCTCATGCGCCAGAGAAGCTCGGGGGAGCTGGTGAGGAGGTCGTTGGGGCCGATACGGGCGAGGGCGCCTGTTGTGGGGTATGGTCAGCATTGGGTCTTGTACCACTTCTTCCCCCACCTCAATGAAGTCCACTGATCTCCTGCAGTGTCTTGCCCATCTTCACATAGACTAGAGTAAAGAAAGCGGTTGGTCGCCGTTACACGGCAGCATCGTGGCGGTTTCTCACGACCACGACCACACCACCCTCTTCCTCTCAGCGATAAGACACAATTGAAAGAAAAACGACAAAAACAACAAGCACAGCACAAGGCAACTCACCATACTTCTCATTGACGCCCGAATACGCCAAATGTGCCTTCTTCCCCTTCACAGCCAGAATCATCCACCAGGCGGAAAAGCCGGTCGTCGCAGGGCCCTTGAACTGTCTCAGACGGTGGTACTGGCCATACAAGCGCGCCACATAGGCCAAGGCGACGACAGCCGCTAGCTGCCAGTAGGCGACGACGAGGGGGCCGATTTGCGGCATCGCTGGCGCAATTGAAAAGCAAAGGGGGTTCCCAAGGCTCCTAAGGATTCCGTCGGGCTGGGGAGTGGTTTGCACCTGACTGGGACCGACCAGAACGTTGGAATTATGCGGAAACGCAGCAGCGGCAGCTGTTAGCACGCAACGCCCCCACCGCGGCAAGGGCGCACATAAATAAGACGCACTGCGCGGTCCGCTAGGCTACGTTGTGCGTGCTGCTTCGATATGGGCGATGCGCGGCTGGGTTAGGATCAATACAATGCCTGCTGGCGTGATGCGCTGCCGACCGGAGCCAGGGCTGCTCCCAGCGGCCAGGGCGCGCGGGATGCCGGGCTCTACAAGGGGGCTACCTGAGCGGGCTGCCGGCGCTCCCTGCTAGCGCTGGCGTTGTTTTAGCCACAGTAAGCGTATTATAAATCTGCAGAAGCCAC